GACGCCGTGCTGTGCGTCTGTTGTGCTACCGTCCCAAGAATTTACCATGGACACGACACCGAACCGTTGGCACTCTGGCGGACTCTCCGCACGGACTACTGGTGCAACTGTACGAGTAGAACGCTGCACTCACTGCCGTCTCCGATGGGACTGTTCAGCAGGAAAAACACGCACCGTCGCGTGGCGTCGCGTCCACTGTCCACAGCGGGCATCGCTGCCGCGGGCGCCCATATCGCCGGACGCCTGTCGTGACCCTGACCGTAGCCTCTGCGTGCCGTGCGGCCAAGCAAAAGCAAAAGACAGCCTGTTTGTTTAGCCGTGGCTTATCGTAAATGATCGTAAAATTTTAGTTAGAATAGTATTTTTCTCTTACATAAATCAGCCAATAGTACTTTTTTACGAACCAGCAACGAAACGAACCAGCCATCAGGTTAGAGGCATCCTGCCGCATAGCTGCCGGCCTGCTTCTGACGTCTGCCACTCGGCCCTGCCCTCGTGGGTCGTGGGTGCGCCATCGGCGATCCTCAAGCTCGCTGATTCGCGAAGAAGTACTGCTAACTGATTTAGACACTGTTTAGATTCCAAAAAATTTTACACAGTACCCGTCACATCGAATCTTGCGGTACATGCATAGAGTACTAAATATAGACGAAAAAAAACTAATTGCATAGTTAGGTGAGAAATCGCGAGACGAAACTTTTAAACCTAATTAGTCCATAATTAGACACTAATTGACAAATACAAACGAAAATACTACAGTAACCAAAATCCAAAAATTTTTGGATATAAACGGAACCTTATATGAGAGATAAATACTATTCCAACTAAAAATTTACGATCGTTTATGACGAGTCACGGCCAAGCGAACAGACAGCCGACTGCGGCCCCTGCGCCCTTGCCGTCAGAAAGAAAGCGGCCATTTGCTGCTGCCGCATCCGGCAAGGGGCCACCCTAGTCCGCGGCCCAGCCCCAGTGCCCCACCGGCCCTCCGGCGAGCGAGGCTCTGCCGCGCCTGCGCGTCGGACCACCAAGGACGTACAGTACTCGTAGTCCTGCACGAACGAGGCGTCAAGAAACAATGCACGGCGCGCGTCGTCGAGTGGTGCTTTTGCTGTCGCCGTCGTCGGCGGGTCGCGACGAGCACGAGAGCACGCACGATCGGGCGGACGAGGCCAGCAACGGGACGACCGCAGCCCAAGTGCCGTGTAGGTACGAAAATAGTAGACGGAAACGGACGATATCGAGAACAGAAGGGGCCAATAAAACATTTTTTTTGTGGAAGGGGCCGGAAATTACCTCGTCCGTTTTCAACGCTTGTGGCGTGGTTCACTGACGAGGCGGCCCGCCTCCGAGAGATGCTTTGCTTTGCTGTCCTGTTCCTGTACGTGATGGGTGAATCGGTGATGGACTGACAAACTGACAGTGGGAGGAGTACAATCAACGGAGAACCTTGGCCCCACGTGTCACCGGTCCGATCCGTCAATGCTTTGTGCTTGGCAACGGGCAACGGATACCAGCCCCAGATATCCATACCCGCGAGCAAAAATCCGTGCCCGCGCCCGCGCCCGTTAACCGTCACGGGTAGAAAACCATGCCCGTACCCGCTATCTGCGGATATCACATACCCGCGGGCATACCCGTATACCCGCAAAAATAAAGCAACAAAGCAACCAACCATATCTTAATAGCAAGTAAGAAACAATATATCAAAAAATAAACGTCTATATCTCAACATTAGATAAAGTATGACACATTGATCATACAAGAGTCATCAAAAATCTACATTAATGTATCTCAAGTCATCACAAATTAACACGAATAAAGACATACAACCGTATATAGAGTCATTGATGCGGGTCTAGCGGGTTTGCGGGTGCGGATATCATTTTTCTATGCCCACGAGCAAATATCCATCAGGCTTAGAATCACACCCATACCCATGCTTATGGACATAAACTTAAACCCATATCTATACCCACCGAATTTTCTATCCGCGAACACGCGGATATTTTGTGCCCTGTGCCATCTTTAGTTTCACCTTCACCGCAGCTTTTCATTTCAGCCTCGGGAAGCGCGGTAACTCTACTGGTACACGGGCAGTACCATCGCTGGACAAGTTAGTCCTTGTTTAGATCACCTTCAAAATTCAAGTTTTTTTATTTTTTCCATCACATCAATTTTTGGACATATGTATGGAGCATTAAATATAGATAAAAAAATAACTAATTACATAATTTAGTTGTAAATCACGAGACGGATCTTTTGAGCCTAGTTAGTCCATGATCGGACAAAGTTTGTCAAATATAAACGAAACATGCTACAGTGTCCAGGTTGTAAAAATTTGCAATCTAAACCAGGCCTTAAAACGCTAATTGCAGGGTCCTTTGTCTTTGGAGGGACTAAACAACGTGCTCGGACGACGGGTCGGCCGGCTGGCGCCGTCGTGGTGACAAAAAGTCCTTGCCCTCTCCTCGCCGCACATGCCCCTCGTGGTTTTCGAAGCACCCACCCGGGCCACTCGCCATTCCCTTCTGCTGCGTCTGCGTGCACGGGCCTCGGGCTCCCTAATCTAGTCTGAAACCCCGTAGCCCTGTGCCATAACAGCAGTGTCATGGCAAACTGGCAGCGCTCCTCCACACGAGGCTTCTTGGCAGCGCCATCCGCACTTCTCATCAGATCTGAAATGTGAAATCTGCTTCCTGCTGCTGCTGCTGCAGCGGCTTGCTTGCTTGCTACATTCGCAACGGCAGATTCTAGATCGGCAGCGCGGCGCGGCGCGATCAGATCGTTCGTGAACCGGCCGATCCGTCCATTTGGAAAGGTTATCTCGTCGGCGTTCGGCCACGGCGCATGAGTGATTAGCGTGACGCGCGCATGTGCTTTGACGAGCTTTTTTGGTTCGGGGAAAGAGGGCAGGGCACAAAAGCCTGCGACCGCATGGGGCATTTGGACGTACTACTAGTACCCGTCTCGTCAGAATCTAGAACAGTGCCTCTGGATTTACCGCGGGCCCTGTCCCCGTGTGACTGTGTGGATCGCCAATTCGCCAGCACCAGCCGCTCTCTCTCGGCATCCATGTGTTGTGATCCTCCGCTTTACTGTTACCGTGACGAACTGGAATTCGAGGCGCACAGTCTTTTTGAGTTTTGACCCAGCGCAGCAGCCTGTTCGGGGCCGGGCGCTCGGCGATGTTGATAGACAAGGGGTGATCTTGTTCAGAACTAGAGATCATGTCCGCGATCCGTCGCAGTCTCACGCACACACACAGCCAGAGCTGGTGCTTTGATCTGCTCGCCGTCAGCCCTTCAGCGCTTACCCTCCAGAAAATAGTTACGTGATTCACATTTAACCAAACTTTTAGTAAACACTATTCACATTTACGAATTTAAAACAATTAATTAAAAAATACTTTTTTTTAATTTCATAAATATTAATATTTTTTTATTTATAATTGATCGAATTTGTGATACTAAATCAAGACACTGTACACATTTTCCCAGAGTGAGGGATAGAAAATTGGAGTCCCGCCCACGGCCAGTATTCCACGGTCAACGCTGCCGCAAGCCCAACCCCAGAGGTCTTACTGTACGATACTACAGTCAGTGGCCGCAGTAACTGTGTTTGACAGTGGTTGGTCCATACTGATTGAAACTGTGGCCGCAGAGACGTGCATACATGGCTGCTTACTAGTTTCTCCGCTAAAATTGAGTTTCTATGGCATTGAATATTTAAACACATAGAGTATTAATTATAGACTAAAAAATAACTAACGGTACAGATTACAACTAATTTGCGAGACGAATTTTTTTAACCTTAATTAGTCTATAATTTGATAATGTGGTGCTACAGTAAACGTGTGCTAATGACGGATTAATTAGGCTTAATAAATTCGTCTCGCGGATTACCGAGGACTTGTGTAATTTGTTTTATTATTATTATCAAAATACTTCCATATAACACCCGATGTGACAACCTTAAGGGTCTGTTTAGTTCCCCTGCTAAATTTTAGTTGCTAAACTTTAGTTAGTTTAGTAGCTAAACTTCTAAACAAACTGACTAAAAATGGCTAAAATAGTAGCTAAATTTTAGTCAACCAAGAGTAGTTAAAAATGGACTAAAGTGTCCAATGGACAAGGGCTGCTCCTCACCATGCTTTGGGCATTCATTAGGAGTAGTTTGGTCTGTGTTGAACTGCTTTAATGGTATTTAGTTACTTTTAGTCAGGGGAACCAAATAGGGGTGACTAAAGTTTAGTCACTAGTTGTTAGTAGCTAAATTTTAATCAAGAGGAACCAAATAGACCATAAATTTTAGCCTCTGGATTTAAACACCGACCGTTTTTACTGCCATTCAGAGCCAATCATTACCCTGTTCGCTTGATCGTTTCTGTGGCTTATAAGTCGATTGATGCTAGTTTATTATGGGAGAAAAACACTATATCATGACCGATAACGCTGGATTTGCCATGAGACACCGGATTAAAAGCATGGACTGCTGCTGCAAGCGGCGTGTTAAGGGGGTGTTTGGTTCTCTCTAAACTTTAGCCTCCGAAGGCTGAAGCCAAGGAGCGAACGAGAGAATGCTACAGTACTTCCACTGCCTGCTCAGTGCTCAGCTCACTGCTCAATAATAAACGCGCCTCTCCCACAGCGGCTCCACGTGCCCGGGTCACGCTGCCGCGCGCGCGCGTACACGCCGCTCCCTCCCTCCCTCCTCGGCTTCCTCTTCGCGGTCGCCACCCTCGCCTAGCCGCGCTCGCCCACCATTTTTTACGTCGCCACGCTACGCTACTTTGCTTCCGGCCCCTGCTCACTCTGCTGTCTACTCTACCTCGTCGACTCCCGCCCGTTGTTTATTTCATTCAGTCCCCTCCGTTTTCTGCGGGAGCTAGCGAGCGCTCGCGGCGTCGCGCGGGTGGCGAGGGCAATGCCAATGCCAATGCCAATGCCGGCGCCGGCGAGCTTGTAGGGCCACCGCCGCCCAGGGACGGAGGAGAGGGGATGGGGTGCCGGAGCTCGCGGCTGGACGCGACGGACGTGTCCCCGGCGGCCGCGTTGTGCCGGGAGCGCCGGGACCTGCTGCGGGCCGCCGCGGACCACCGCGCGCGCCTCGCGGCCGCGCACGCCACCTACTTCCGCGCGCTCCCGCGCGTCGCCGACGCGCTCGCGCGGTTCGCGAGCCACCACCACGCCGCCACGCCGCCGCCGGGGTCGCCCGTGCTCACGCTGCCGCCGCCCTCCGACCACGACCACGACGACGCCGACGACGACGAGCCCAAGAAACAGCGGAGCGGGAGCGGCTCCGCGTCGGGTGGCTCCGCGACACCGCACACCGACTCCGGCCACTCCCACATCCACTTCCACTCCGACGACGCCTCGGAATCCGATCCCGACTCCTCGGTCGACGACCCCTGCGCCGGCTCCGGAGGCTGTGGCGGTGCCCACGGCGAGATCCCGCCGCAGCCGGCGCCTGTCCTTCGTCCTGGCGTCGTTCCCTTGCCCCCCGACCGCGGCCACGGCGAGCCCCAAGAACGCCAAATCCAGGACCCAGGATTTGCCAGGCCGGAGATGCCGTGGGAGTACGCCTCCTACGATCCCTATCCTTCCTTCCCAAACACCGCATTCCAAAATGCCACATTTCCCAGCTACTACTACATGAAGGCCAGCACGACGCCGGCGAACACGGTGTACCAAGAACCGTACGGCTACGGCAACTTCGCCACCAGTTCGTCCTACGTGGGGTACAACTACGGGTACAGCAACCCAATGTACGGCGTCCCGTTGCCACCAGAGGGGGATCGGCCGGTGGAGGATCGCGGCCGGGAACAAGCGGCGGCTCCGGCGCCGCCGCCGCCAATGCCAATGCCTGAGACGACACCGTGGGACTTCTTTAACCCCTTCGATTCATATGAGCAGGACCTTCCTCAGTATAAGAGCAAAGGGTACGACTCCAATGGGTCGTTCACCAGCAGTCCCAACTCAAGTGAGGTGAGGGCAAGGGAGGGGATCCCAGAGCTCGAGGAGGAGACGGAGCTGGAATCTATGAGGGAGTCTGTCAAGGCAAGGAAGGCTGTAGAGAGCACGGCATCGAACCGGATTGGCAATGTGGATGTCAGCGCCAAGGTAAAAGTGTCCATGGAGCATAAGGAAGTTGAGATTGAGAGTGTGTATAGTGCTTCGGTATTTGAGTCAGGGGACGAGAGTATGTGCAGTTGTGATTGTGACCATGTCAATGCTCGAACAGAGGGGCCAGTGCAGGTGCCGGCAGGAGATGATCAAGGGAAGGTGAGGAAGGTGAGCTCAGAGGATCACTCATCCATAGTAGTCGGAGAGGATGAACCGCTGCCAGAGTTCACTGGGACAAGAGATGTCGCCGAGGTTGTTGAGGAAATAAAGGAGCAGTTCAAATCAGTGGCTGCCTGTGGAGATGACGTCGCAAGGATCCTTGAGGTGGGGAGGATGCGGTATCGATCACGGAATAGAATCTTAAGATGTAAGTATGCTTTGTTTTACATTTAACCATTACAAATCCTGGTTCCATCAGACTGAAGCCAACATTGTTTGCATTAGTAAACCCATTGCTATATTGAAATTTGACCAATTGAGAGGTAGCATTTACCTGGTTTCTTATTGTTATACTGATCTCTGGGCTGGAGTTCTTCTCCGTCCTTCCATAGACAATTGTAACCCAGTTAAATAATTTGATCCTTACTCTCCATGCAGTGGTATTCTCACGGATGATGGGGACCTTCGCTTTGTTGTTTTCTTCCATATCTGAGCCACCGGTGAAGAGCTTGGAACAATCAGCTATAAATTCATCCAAAGGAAGTCAGAATTCCGGTAAAAGATTCGATCTTCCCAGTGATGTTGAACTTAATACTCTTTCCGCAACAATGGACAGGCTGTACGTGTGGGAGAAAAGACTTCATAAGGAAATTATGGTATGCTATTTCCTTTATATGAAATGTGGTGATTAGTTCCTCTTGCAATTTGATTTCGGGTACCTTTGGTAAAAAAAAAGGAAAGACGACTATAGTTCACTAGTCCCTCCGTCTTGAAATACAATACAAGGTATCCTAGGAATTCTAGGACAAATTATGGGATAAAGCAAATAACGCTTGTAACCTAACCCTCCCTAAGTGTAGAGATAGAGAGATATTGTGATTACCATATTTGGGTTGGTTATAAACAATAATGGTAGGTATGCATGTAAATGCTGTCTTTTTAAACTAAGTTGGAGGGTTACTTCACCGAGAATCTCTTAGAATTTGGGGAAATCTTGATGCCTGGATACCTTTCATTTTAGGACGGAGGGAGTATTAAGTTCGATTTGGTCATGAGCCTGATAATGTCTCAAAACTGGAAATAATTTTCAAGAAGTCAAAATTTTGTCCTTTGGGAATGTTGATTGGCTGAAAATGGTTAAGAAGGGCCCTTACTCCGTAATTTCTTTGTGAACTATAAAGTGTTACTTTGAGTCTTTCTTTTCATGATCATGTTTTAACATTTTCTTAAACTATGTTAGGAGGAAGAAAAATTGAGGATTACATATGACAAAGAATGGAAGCGCTTGAAAGAGCTTGATGCTAATGGTGCAGAGCCATATAAGATCGATACAACACGGGCCTCAATTAGGACACTGCTCACAAGAATCAACATTTCCATCAGATCAGCTAAAGTTATTTGTAGGAGGATCCACACACTACGAGATGATGAGTTACACCCACACCTTGTTACGCTTATCCAAGGGTATGACAGATGTAATCCTACTACTCTTTTTCACTTTTGTAGATCTCGAAAGGTTCGAATCTATATGCCATTCGGCCCATTTTATTGAACTTGTTTTCTAAGATGTCTAAATTAGCCTACCCCAACTTGTTTGGGACTTAAAAGGCTTTGTTGTTGTTCTAAGATGTCTAAATACTCCATGTAAACTAGAGTAGCATGTTTTATGTTGCGGTATTACTACAGCATGCTGATTGTTTTAAAATATATATATATATATATATATATATTGTTGCACGAGTTGTTGCCACATTTGCTAAGATCAGCTAGTTTTAGTAGTTGCGATGTTCTTTTTTTTTGAATAATAATAAAATGTAGTTGTGATTTTTGTGCAGGCTTGTTAGAATGTGGAAATTCATTATTGAATGCCATCGGAAGCAATTCCATACCATACTTCAAACTAAATCTCATATTCTCATCCCTAAGAATGGACCTGAAAGAAGCTCCTCCAAGGTTACACTGGAACTAGAAATGGAACTTTTGAACTGGTGTTCTTGTTTCAGGAATTGGATCCTATCCCAAAAAGCTTATATCGAAACCCTCAATGGCTGGCTAGTCAAATGGCTTCCTCAGGAAAAGGAGGAGACTCCGGATGGCATTGCACCCTTCTCTCCTGGTAGGCTTGGAGCTCCTGCTGTGTTCATTACAGCTAATGATTGGTGTCAAGCCATGAAAAGGATACCAGAAGGCAGCGTCGTAGATACAATGGAGGCTTTTGCTGTCAACGTGCATATGTTATGGGAGCGGCAGGATGAAGAGCTGCAGCAGAAGTTGAAAGCTGACTACCTCTCTAGAGATTTTGCAAAGCGGCTCAAATCTCTTCAGATGGAACATGGCTTGCAAGGGCATTTTGAAGCTGATAAGCCAGTGTTGCCCATTGCCGACAATGGCAGGGCAGTTGATAACCGCATGGTTGCATTGGATACACTGCACAAGAGATTGGATGAACAAAGAGCTCGGCACGAGGAAACTGTGAAACAGATTCGAGAGGCCAGTGCAGCTGATCTGAAAGCAGGTCTGGCTCCGATATTTGAAGCACTGGAATCTTTTAGTGTGGAGACGCTGAAAGGTTATGAAAATGTCAGGATTCCAGTCGAAAGTGTTGGCGGTTGATACCTTTAGTCCACAAATTTTCTGTTGGCAGCTCTTGATACCTGAAGTCCACAATGATCGCTGGGGCAGTGGACAATGTTGAATTCATCCAAGGAGTTATTAACAATCTGAAACAGTCTTCAATTTGCCAGCCATGCGCAAGCACAACACCATTGTACTTGGAATAATGTTGAATTCATCCAATGTACAAGTAAGGACGGCCCAGAAGTTCCGGCATGATTGTGCGCGAAGCAATGTTACCACGGATTCTTTGAGATGATTCTGATTTCTGCGGTAACAAATTCATGTGGAGCTTCGACACTAGTCAGTAGCTAGAGCTACTTGTCCACAGGGAGCTGCTAGGAGCCTGAACTCTGTCTAGTTGGAGCCCCTCAAAGGAGGGGAAGGCAATTTTGTAGCCATTTTCAGCTCCTGTACATATTAGTTTCAGTTAGTGAATTCGCAGGTTAGCTCGTCATCTGTGTACAATTTGATCTGTGCATCGTAAAAGTTGTATTTATGCCCTATGTTCACGGCATGTAGATGGTCTGGCCTTCGCCTGCTGAAGACTGAAGAGCATACATAGATGTTGGACGAATATGGCCGTAGTAGTTCCTTGCGCTGTCTGTCTGCCTTCCAACTCGATAACCCACAAAGTTTTGCCAGTTTGGTCTTCATTTTGTTCTAAAACCGGCACTGGCAGAATGCAACTACTCACCTGTAATATGGCTGCATCCAGCTAACGTACAAAAGCAAAAATACCAATATCAATTAATGGGCAGCTTAGCTTGATCGGTTGCTTCGCAGATGATCAATCGTGTACACACAGTACACATGGACACATTTGTTTCGAGGGTGCCAGATCGGATCTGTTCCGAAGGGGATGGCATCCAACGGAGGTTTTCCAAATACCACGTTAAGTATATCGGTGACAAAAGATTGAAAGAGCTTCTCCATGTGTAGGTTTGCAGCTTGGATCCCAGCAGAACGTCAAAAGCTGCATCAGGTACCAAGCAGCTAGGTGATGCCAATCTCAAAGGCCATGGAAGTTACTGGCTCACGTGCTCTAGGTCGCGTGGACGATGCTGAGAAGTGTCACGTCTTTTTTTTTTCTGCTCCAACTGGCTCGGACCTTGGTGATCGTTGGATGGATCTGCATCATTAAAGTCATATATTTAGGTGCTCCTTTTCTTCTTGTTATTGAGGAGCAGGAAGTTCTCAGGCTTGAGATCCCGGTGGAAGACCCACATGGAGTGACAGCTGTGGACGGCGGCGACGATCTCGCGGAAGAGCGCGGCAGCGGCGCTCTCCCGGCGCACGTCCTCGATGTCGTCGCGCTGGACGAGCTTCCACGTGACGATGGACTTGCAGGCGAAGCGCTGCCCGATTTCCCGGTGCGTGTCGAGGTACGAAGGCCCGAACTAGCCCTGCCCCAGCTCATGGCCGAAGGTGTAGGTCGCGCGCAGGTCCTCCATGGGCCGCCGCCTGAGCATGCGCCCCGCCGCCCCTGCGTCAGCCGCCGGCTTCGGCTTCTACTGCGGCAGGGCCTGCTGGCACTGCGGCGGCGGCGGCGTCTGGGGCTTGGGCAGGATCGGCGAGGCCGGCTGCTGCTCGGCGGTCCCATCGAACCAGCGGTTCCCTTAAAGTGCAGTGAAAAAAAAAAGAACTTCACGCTGGGCCGGCACGATATAGGCCTTGGCCCGTTAAGGGCTCGCTACAAAGAAACTCCAGCTATATCTCGGCTTCTCGCCCCCGTCTCCTCCACCCGTCGTTTCCTCTCTCGAGTCCCACGAGTCCCGACCCTCCGAATCTCGGATGCCATCGCCTTTATGTGGTGCTCGCAGGCCGGTCGCTGACTCGCTGTGCATCAACCAATCACCGGCCCCCGCCCTCGCCACCCGGGGCAAAGATATAGTCAAGGCCCCCGGGGGCTCATCCGCAAGCCTGTGGACGCCAGGGAGTGAACACCAGCCGTCTTGCCCCGACCCCGACCGATCCTCACCTGCTGCAGCCATGGCGACCTCCGCGGCGCTCTCCACCACCGCCAACCCCACCCAGGTGAGCCAGCAACTTCCTCATCTTCTTCCTTCTTCTGCCGTGGGGCGCCTCTCTCCCTGGCCTTGACCCTTGTCTCATGAGTTTTGGCCGAGGAGATACGGAGTCTATGTCCACGGCGTTATTAGTCGATCTTCACCAGCGCGTTCAATCTTGCCCACCAAAGTTGCATCTGAATCGCACAATATGGTTTCTTTGCATATACATATGATGTCCGTGCGTGCAATGGCAGCTCTGCCGGTCCCGCGCTACGCTGGGCAAGCCAGTGAAGGGGCTTGGCCTGGGGATGGGCCGGGAGCGCGCCCAGAGCATCACGTGCCAGGCGGCGAGCAGCATCCCCGCCGACCGCGTCCCCGACATGGAGAAGCGGAAGCTGATGAACCTCCTCCTCCTGGGCGCCATCTCGCTGCCCACCGTCGGCATGGTCGTCCCCTACGGCGCCTTCTTCGTCCCCGCCGGGTGAGTCGTCGATCGTCTCGCGTTGCCATGGCCATGCATCAACAACAATGTTTTAAATAGCGGCATAAGACGTTTAGCGGATATCTTTAAAACAGCTAATAGTGGAGCTGTACCGTGCTATAGCGGATATAGCGGCTAAATTGTACATGAACACAAATAGTCACACCCTAACTTAAAAGGCTATAGCGGCAGCTGTAGCGGGAGATTTAAAACTAGGATCAACAGCTAGCTAGCGGCTCACTGTATATACGAGGTGTTACCGGCCGGCTAGCCGGCCAGCAACTAATGAATAGTACCCCCGCGGCCCATTGATTTTGCACACAGCTCCGGCGGCGCCGGCAGCGGGACCTACGCCAAGGACAAGCTGGGCAACGACATCACGGTGAATGAGTGGCTCAAGACGCACGGTCCCAACGACCGCACGCTCGCGCAGGGGCTCAAGGTCAGTCATCCATCTCCATCGTCATCACCTGCAGCTGCAGGCAGGCATGCCTGTTGTGTTGTGTTGTGTTGTGTTGTGTTGTGTTGTGTTGATGCTTACGGCCGCCGGCGTGTTTGTGTGCGCCGCCGCGCGTGCAGGGTGACCCCACGTACCTGGTGGTGGAGCAGGACAAGACGCTGGCCACCTACGGGATCAACGCCGTGTGCACTCACCTCGGCTGCGTCGTGCCGTGGAATGGGGCCGAGAACAAGTTCATCTGCCCCTGCCACGGATCCCAGTACAACAACCAGGGCAAGGTGGTCCGTGGACCGGCGCCTCTGGTAAAAACAAACGCACCCATTTCTTCGAACTGCAAGTCTGCAACTGATTTTGTTGCGCTTTCAACTGATCTGCTTCTTCGCACTGCTCTTCTGTAAACAGTCGCTGGCCCTGGTTCACGTCGACGTCGACGACGACAAGGTCCTCTTCGTCCCCTGGGTGGAGACCGACTTCAGGACCGGCGAGGACCCGTGGTGGAAGGCATGAGGAGGATCCAACACCAGCGGTGCTCAGTGCTCACATATGACCTATGTATGCCTCGTGTCCCTGTGATGAGGTCATAGACTTGCGTTCGTTCTCCGAGGGCGTTGTTGCTACAAATTCACTTGCTTCTTGCCTCCAAATTATATATATGTACACACACTGTATGAAACAACAACAGCTGTTTCTCATCTCTTCATATACTATCTCTGCTGTAGTAATCTCAGCATACATAGTATTTCTGTCGGGTTCCTAAACCTGGGGTCCCTCACGGACCGGCTTCCCAACAGAGACTCGGTCCAAGCGGACAACGCGCAACTCATGGGCCGGCCCAGGTATCTAAACAACAGGCCAGAAGGACAATCCAATCACCGACCGGAAGGTCTGGCCGAGGAGGAATGGCACCCATCTTCCGACTCCGGCCCACCTCTCAAACCGGAGCGCTCGCTCCGGTATCCAGCCCACCTCCTGACGGCCTCTCCGACCGGAAGGCCTGGCCAAAGCACTACTTCCGACTCTGACTCGCGTCTCCGACCGGGGGTGCGCCAAACCCTTGCTCACCGCTCTTCTCCGACTGGCGCAATCAGAGCCGACTGGAACCAACCGACCGGGGACGCCCGCTCGGTAAGGACCAGGGAACGAACGGAGAAAGCAAGGCAGGGCGCACAAGTCAAACCGCAATACCAGGGTCCGTACCCTGTGCACCTGCAGGAACAGTACCTGCAACCTCCCTGACACGATAGAAACCCAACAGTATTGTAGGCGCCGACATTTTCCCTTACAGTATTGTGGGCGCCATTAACTTCCTTACGTTAAGGCTCCCCCACATGCCTCCAGGCATCGACAGTGTTGTGGGCGCTGGCATTTACCGTATCAGGCGAACATGATAAAACCCCTTGCATGCCTCTAGGTCTCAACAGTGTGGCAGGCGCCGACGTCTGCCATACCCGAAGAAGACAACACCACCTCCCACGTGCATCTGACATTCAACAGTATTGTGGGCGCTTACCATCATTCTGTACCCGCCGGCGTGGGCAATAAGGCTCAGTAGCATACACACTATCTTCCTCTCACTTGTAAGGCCATCCCCTTTATTTATAAAAGGGGATGCGCTCTCCTCCAACAAAGGGGGATTCAAGTCATTCCAGATTCATTAGATCGATCAACTTCACTAGCACAGAACCTCCAGGTTCGAACCACGAGCTCACGCTTGAACACTTAGTTCATAGCAGGGCTCCCGTCACTCTCGGCCCTTCCGACAGGAGTCCGACCGGACCTCTTGTACCCTCCATATTTCTTCTTCTCGTTTGTAACCCCACTGCAAACTTCAAGCACCTGGGCTCAGGAATAAAGTCACCGACCGACTCAAACTGGACGTAGGGCACGTTGCCTGAACCAGTATAAACCCTGTGTCATTGAGTGCTAGGCCACCTCCGATCACAACGTACGGCAAAACTACAAATATTTACTTGTTGGTCACTTTCTGCACCGACAGTTGGCGCCGTCCGTAGGGAAGACGCTGTACGTTCAACACTTTTTGGTCATCGGATGGCCCACTTTTCCGCCACCCTCGCCGTGGCGGGCTCAGGCGATACGACTTGCTTCGGCTCACTGGAGTTTCCCGCACTCTCACCTGTTGGGATGTGGGTTCCATCCGTCTTCGAGCCGTCCCAGGCCTTCCTCTTCGGAAGCCTGGACTTCGTCGCCGACCGGCTCGGCGTACTACACCTCCGCGAGGAAGCTCTCGTTCCGGCGCCCATCGGAGGGGCGCCCTCTATCGGCTCTAGGACACACGACAACTTCAACGACGAGGCATCTGCGCTTCATTCCGAGCAAACTCTCTGCTCAAACCCCGCTGGAAGTAATATGCATACTGTTATTTACTCTCTATTTACTATCTCCCGCCGATTATCTAGAGGGACCATATTGACTGCACCACGAACACCGAACAACCGGTTCCCCTACAGCTTCGCGTCCCCCGTGGATGCGTGCGCTCGAGGGCTCCGGAGGACGCTACCGCCATTCCCTCTCATATCCGAATTTGTGGGAATGAGGAGCTATGCTCCCATCACTTTCCACGAACTCCCGGATGATGAGGGTGACAACGACGGCTCCAGCATCGGCGACGTAGCACCTAGCCACCATCCATCCTGGGAGTGCGCTATGGCGGACGCTCTGGGACAGCCGCCTGTCGTTGCAGAGTCTGTGCAGACTCACACCCCTCCGGACCCGCGTGCGGGGGCCCTCGTGTTTGCGCAAGTGCACGCCGAGGAACTACGACAATGGCGGCAGAACCAGCCGCCGCCTGTGCCGGCGCGCTCGGTACGGCACGTTGCGCCCCATGCGCATGACTCGGTGGGCGGCGCCCGGGGTCACGCCCGCCATGTCCAACACGACATCATGAACGAGGGGAACGATCTCCCACAGTTCACTCGGGCTAGCCAGAACATCGCTGCTGCGGCAATGCTTCTACGCGGCGTTCCCGAGCCCGTCGACCCCCAGGAGTGGGCGGTCTACCGGAACCTCCGAGTGCTGGTGGAAGCCGCCGCCGTTCAACAGGCGAAAAGCTCCGCATCACGACTCTGACATGCGCCCTCTATCCCCACCGAGGGAGTGGAGACGCGCCAGACGGATCGCTCCGTCCGCTCATCGCTATAGCCGCCAAGTGCGGCTCGGGGGGCAGCGGCCACACCTCAATCCGACCCGGCGCCTGCTCTACACCAACCGCCGATACGCGGATGGCTCGGTCCGCACCAAGACGCTCGTAGCGTCATCAGCAACCGGCATCAGGCCCGGCATGATGATGACGACCACCGAGCACTGATGAGGGCAGGCAACGCGGGTCCCAGCCAAACCATCGAGGGGAGCAGAGAAACGCGCCCCAAGTATGGTCGCCGGCCAAACGACCGGAGTCCCAGCCCTGAGGGCCCGGGACCACGGTCCTTTGACTGGCGTATCCAGAGAGCGCCGTTCCCCAGCGCTTCCGACCGCCCACCAACATCACCAAGTACACCGAGGAGACAAACCCCGTTATTTGGCTCGAAGATTTCTAGCTCGGCTGCCGAACCGGAGGGGTGGATGATGACTATTTCATCATCCAGTATCTCTCCATCTGCGTGGGGGAACATGTTCGGGCATGGCTTGAATTCCTCCCGCACGACAGCATCCGTGACTGGGCGGACCTCAAGAGGGTCTTCGTCGGAAATTTCTAGGGGACGTATGTCCGCCCTGGAAACTCCTAGGACCTCAAGAGCTGCCAGCAGGAGCCCAGCGAATCCCTGCGGGATTACATTCACAAGTTCTCCCAACTATGCAACTCCCTCCCTGATGTCGTCGACGCAGACGTCATCAGCACATTCCTCTCTGGGACGACCTGCGAGTCCCTGATCCACAAGTTTGGCACGTCGCCACTAACCACACCTTCGGCGAGGAGGCGGTCGGAGCGATCTTCAACGGAGGCCGGAACAAGGGCAAGGCCAAGCGCACGGACCAAGACGAGGGCCCCTCCACACAGAGGGGTAAGAAGAACAAAAAAGATCGGCGCCGATCGGACAACACCGCACTGGTTGCCGCGGCTAATCGCATGGGCAAGCATCCCCAGCAGGGGCTACCTGACTACTTCAACAAGCTCATGGACAGCCCGTGCACCAACCATGCCTACCCCATCAAACACCTCTACAAGGACTGTGAGCTCCTCAAACGTTTCCTCCGACAGGACGGCAGGCCGAAAGAGGGGGACGGCAAAGAGGCAGCAACCAAGAAAGGAGGCGCGGCGGGCAAGGACAGAGATGGTTTCCCCGACCCTGAGGAATGCATCATGACCCTCGGCGGATCCGATGCCATCTGGACCAAACGCCAGCACAAGGTGCGCTATAGGAGGGCATGCGCCGCCGAGACGGCCGTCCCCTCCTTCCTCGGCTGGTCGGAATCTCCAATCACCTTTGATCAGAGGGACCATCCCTCCCACATCGCGAGACCGGGACATTACCTACTTGTCGTTGACCCCATCGTCTGCAAGAAGCGCCTCACCAAGGTGCTGATGGACGGAGGCAGCGGCCCCAACATCCTCTACGTCGACACCCTCGACGCTATGCACATACCCCGGTCGGAACTCCGCCTGGCGGGGTCTCCATTCCACGGGTGATCCCAGGAGCATAGGCATACCCACTCGGGCAGATCGACCTGCCCGCCACGTTCGGCAGCTGAGCCAACTTCTGCTCGGAGGTCCTCACCTTCGAAGTGGTGGACTTTCTAGGGTCCTACCACGCCATCTTGGGGCGGCCATGCTACGCCAAATTCATGGTGATCCCCAACTACACCTACCTCAAACTAAAGATGCCGGGACCAAACGGCGTTATCACTATGAGCAGCGCCTTCTCGCATGCCTTCACGTGCGACCGCAAGCATTTCGAGCTCACCACCGCGGTCGTCAACTCGTCCGAGCTTCCACGGCTGGGGGAGTCGTCGACCCCAGCAGTCCCAGACTGCAACAAACCAACCTCCTCGACGGCCTTCCGCCCACTCGAGGAAACCAAGGCGGTGGGAATCGACCCCACCGACCCAACCAAGACGGTGTGAATCGGGACCCAGCTCCTGGCCAAATAGGAATGCGAGCTCATCGACTTCCTACGCGCCAATCATGATGTCTTCGCATGGCAGCCTTCTGACATGCCGGGCATACCGTGGGAAGTCGCCGAGCATGCACTGCGCCTTATCCCGGGCTCGAAGCCCTCCAAGCAGCGCCTGCGTCGCTTTGACGATGAGAGACGCAGGGCCATAGGCAAAGAGATCGCCAAACTCCTGGCGGCCGGATTCATCAGAGAGGTATTCCACTCCGACTGGCTTGCCAATCCCGTTCTTGTTAAAAAGAAGACCGGGAAGTGGAGAATGTGCGTTGATTATACTGGCCTCAACAAAGCGTGTCCAAAGGATCACTTTCCTTTGCCGCGCATAGACCAGTTAGTCGAGTCCACCTCGGGTTGTGAGATCCTCTCCTTTCTGGATGC